TCGCGTTTTCTGTGTTTCTGGGAATTCCAGTAGCAAACAGGAGTATTCAAAAACGAATTGCGAATATCCATCTGATAAGTAGACATATCCAAAAGATAAGCTCATCGTGTACACATGGAACTGCAGCTGCCACATGGAAACGGCACGTGCGCGCAAGTTCCACACACGAGCTGACATATGGCGTATGACAACATGAGGGTTTGCGTAATATGGTGTGGGGTTGGTGTAAATTGCGCATGGTACGTTCAGAATGTAGCATGTGGGAATACCGTTGTTCGTGGGTACTCTATTATTTTCATGGCTTTAGTGTTTGTCGATGTGCGGCAGATTTGTTCATGAGTATCGCCGGTTTCTTCCTTGAGTGTGTATGGTTGACTGTTTCATTACATTCAAATTATGTGTATGCTCATTTCTCGTAAGCTGAATCTGCACTCACACGCACCGATCCCCGCATACCGCTCAATGATCAAATATGATATGTGTTTGCCAATCGGAATTGGATGGGACACGGGCCGATCCCAGCCCTCCGCGTAATTATTGTTCTAAGTTGTGTTCCACGTGGGATTCGAAAAGACATGCGCCGATCCCGCCCTCCAGCTGAATTTGTTGAGTGGTTCATCCGTACGGGTCGCCTCTCTCGCCGGCCCTCTCTCCATCATGATTGGATTTATCAAAGCTGTATTGGGATGTTTGGGCGCCGTTTTGAACACATTTGGGAGGGTTACGCGAGGACGGCTGGCAACCAACACGTCATGCACACGCGATCGTGACACCAGAGGCGCGAGTGCAGCGGAAGTTGATAGGTGTTGTGGCCTCGGGGGCGCGAGCGTGTGGTAATTTATATGGGGATGGTGGCTTCGAAGAAACGAAGCTGGCGCAAGCGCAATGAATCGAAACCTCGGAAACACAAGCGTGTAACGTACAACGGGTTATGGTTTCGGGGCGCGAGCGTAGTGCAATTTACAAGAACTCGTTGCCTCGGGAGCGCGAGTGTGGCGTAAGTTTAAAAATGTCGTGGCCTCGGGGGCGCGAGCTTCCACGCATTTGCTAGGGATCGTGGCCTCTGGGGCGCGTGTATTGCATCATCTATATGGGTCGTGGCCTCGGGGGCGCGAGTGTGGTGCAATTTACTAGGGATTGGGGTCTTAGTGGCGCAAATCTTGTGTAAATTGCCAGGGCATGTTGCCTCGAGGACGCGAATATCTGGCAATTTGAAACGGATTCGGATTTTGAGCACGCAACCATGAATTAATTTATTAGGGATCGTGGCCTCGGGGACGCGAGCGTTGTATCATTTACGGGGGATCGTGGCTTCGGAAACGCGGCTTGCGTAATTTACGAGGTGGCGTGGCTTCGGGAACGCATATATTGTATAATTTACGAGCGGTTACGGTCTCGGGGACGCATATCTCAGATCTTTGCCCATGTCCGAAACACCTTCGTAAATTCTGAAAGCCCCGGGGGGCGTGAACCATTTTGCCTCTTTGGGTCCCCCCCCTCGCGCGGAGTTCAACATTTCATAGTAAGAAATTGAACGTAGTACTATACATCGGAAGCTTGACAGTGGAGTTGGAGAGCATGGTGCAGCAAGCCTAACCTCCGCATCCTGATGGCCCCGCAAGGGGGCCGGCGGATTTACAACGAATCGTGGCCTCGGGGGGGTGAGTCTCATGTATTCTCAGTGTCCCAGGGCCCGGGAGAAATTTTGAGAACCGCCCCAGGAGAAGGTAACAGGATCCTTTTCGCCCCACCCCGCCCTTCGCGCGGACGTCAACAATTTACAGTGGGAGATAGGTCGTCGGACTATACATGGGAGGTTTGAATTGTAATTGGAGCCGGGAGCAGCAAGCCTAAGCCGCGCAGCCAGATGGCCCCACAAAGAGGCCGGCGGATTTGGTTCCCAATGGGAATTTGATGGAACATGTGCCTGCGCGATTCTATGATATTCCATTTGGAACTCACGGAGTGCAAAGTGTCTCGTTCGGCCCCCCTCTCCCTCCCAATGGGTCCGGGGTTTCCCAAGCCGCCCAGGGCACGAAGCGCTTTCATGGAAGGCGTCACCCTTGGGGCTGCTGAGGAAGTCCTGATGACCCCCCCTGGATTCCCGAGGAATCGCTTAGGAATCGTTCAGTAATCCCTCGAGGATCCTTGATGGATCCCGGAAGAGATCCTTGAGGAAGTTGTGAGGAATCCCTGAGGACTCTTTTGTAGAGAGGACTCCCGGAAGAATTCTTTTTGGGAGTCCTTTTGGCATTTGTCTAGGAAGTTCGCAGGAATCCGGCAGTAACCCCAAATCAATCTCAAAGGAAAATCAAAGGAATATTTAAGAAATCTCTGACATATCTTTTCAGGACTCTCCTAAGAAGCTTCCAAAGCGGTCGGGGCTGGTACCAGTTGGTTGGACTTGGTACCAAAACGGTTGGCATTCGTTCGTGCCGGCTGTAATCCGTCCACTTGTCGGTCTGCCCCTCTTCTCGAAGGGGGGAAGGGGGTTGGGCCATGGGACGATGGATCGGGAATTTCTTGATCCGTCGTTTGGGATCCACACGTACCAATTTTCCGAGTTGCGGACCCCCTTTCTCTCAAGCAGTGGCGAAGCGTCTTGATTCCCCTACAATCCCACCAAAGAGTGCTTTTATAACGCTTTGTGGTCTGCGCGAAATGTTCTTAGAATATTTCTGGTGGAGCCTGTCTTGTTTATCACATCGCCACATCGGGACTGTGTTCTAAGGACACTGCTTGTCGTCTCAGAACAGTTCGGGGTTCTAAGAACATGTCGTGGTAGGCCTGCCGGGACGGGATCGGGATCCAAGATCCAGGGATCCCTTCTCTTTCTTCTTCTCCAGGGATCCCCCCTGAAGCTGTCGTCGCGGCGCTTGAGGTCGTCCACGAAGGGCGCGCACGTGCACTTCTCCATGTGCACCCAGAACCCGAGGGGGAAGTGCTTCAGATAGATCCTCTCCTCCCCGTTGCTCTCGGCCTTGTCTTAGATCAACTCTCTCCTCTTCTCCAGGGACCCCCCCCCCCTAGTGGCTTCGGGGAGCCGGCGGCGAGCCCTCGACGATGTCCTCCGGCCTTCCTCTGCGACGGCCGGCCTCTCCCTGCCCTCCCACCCCCCCCCCCTCCCTGGGCTCGCCGCCGAGTCAGCGGCACGTTCGCGGAATCTGCGGAGCGACGGCGTGACACCGCTGGAGGCTGAGCTGCGCAATTCGTGGCAGAAGCGTTCGCGAACGTTCGGAGGACCGCTGACACAGGCCCATGGCGCCCCATTTGGTCGAGCGCACTTGCAGCGCTCGGAGCCCTTCCTTGTCGGCTCCCGCACGTTGAGGGCATGCAAGGGTGGGGAGGAGAAGGAGACGGAGGAGGCGCAAGAGGAGGACGACTGAAGAAGGATGAGGGGGACAATGAGGGGGAGTACGACGAGCGAGGGAGGAGGGGGGGCGACGGATCCAGGAGGAGAGACCAAGGGACAGAGGACCAGTTCCATGCACAGGTTGGCCGGAAAGCGAGGGTGGCTGGGTGGCGGTGCCTGCGCGCCAGTCCCGTGGATGCTTGTGTTTGTGCTTGTGTGGTGCTTGTGCATGTGCGTCGTCTTTGCTTGTGAGAGGGCGAGCAGGGCAAGGAGGGCGAGGTGGGCGAGGAGGGAGAGGAGGGCGAGGAGGGAGCGGAGGGCGAGGAGGACGAGGAGGGCGAGGAGGACGAGGAGGGCGAGGGCGAGGAATAGCGAGGAGGGCGGAGGCGAGGAGGGCGAGGAGAGCGAGGAGGGCGAGGAATAGCGAGGAGGGCGGTGGCTGGAGAGCCTCCAGCCTGCTCGCCAGTCCCACGGGCAGGAGCTCTCAGCAACCTGCTGGAGGAGCGGTCCGCGGCGGGCAACTACAAGACCGCGGCGGGCCTTAGGGAACTCAAGAACGGGCTGCGGGACTGCCGCGCCGCTGCTCTCTCCGGGGATGGGAACGCTGGGCAGGACGATTCGACCCTCCTCAGAGGAGGGCGAGTTGAGAGCGGCAGCTGGTCTGAGTAAAATTGATGCGTTTGGACCTCGGGTGGGGTTTGACGACCGAGTTTGAGCTGCCGTTGTCTCAACTCGCCCTCCGAACGCTGGGGATGACGATCCGGCCTTCCTGCTCACCCTTTTGTTCGCGGCGCGCGTGACTGCATCTGTGCGCTTCCGCGCTCGCGCCGGCACAGTCCGAGTCCGCACGTAATAAAGAACGAGTGCTTCTCCCCGGGGTGCCCTTGAGTCCTTCGGTCGTGCGCTACTCCTGGCTATAGGTTTTGATTGTGTCACGCCCGATTGCAGCAAACTTTGTGGTGTTTGTGTCTGGGGTCTACGGAGCCAGTTCGCATTTCGAGACTGACTTTTTCATTTGGCCAGCGTAGTGTGTCCCTCTCATTTCTCAGCTTCTTTTGTATTTGCTTTTCTCTGTCTCGAGCTGGTCTCGATTATCCATACCTTCTCTGGTTTCTCGTATCCCACTTGCCGCACTTGCAACTCCTGGGAGGTCAGATGCAGCATCGGCGCTGGTATATCCGTGGTCGAAAACCGGCGCAGTCCAGCATAGTCCCGTTGAATTCCGTTCAGTCGCGGTCAATATATCCGGCCAACTCCGGCTCAGTAGCCCGCTAATCGGGCTTCCTGCTTTTGAATGTTGCTTGCGACGACTCCCAGCCGTTTCCTTCTGCCTGGCCCCCTCGCCTCCTCCCACCACTGGCCCCGCCCCTCGGCGGCGAAATCCGAACCATACACTCCCCCATCAACGGCCGTCAGGCGACTCGATGGACGGCGAGGGCAGGGTTCGGAATCTGCCGGACACGCGGCGACATCCGAACCCCACCCGCCACCTCCCACCGAATCGGGAGGATCGATGGCTCGGATGTCGCCACCCCGCCCCCCACTGGGCCCGCGCCTCTCTCGCGGCGCATCCTCCTCCTCCTCCTCCTCCTCCTCCTCCTCCTCCTCCTCCTCCTCCTCCTCCTCCTCCTCCTCCTCCTCCTCGCAGCGCGCGACGCGGCAACGCCGCGACGACGGCCCGCGCCCCCCTCCGCGAGAGCAGCGCGCCGCTGCCCGGCTGGCCCCGCGGGGCCCCCGTGCGCCCATGGCCGCAGCTGGCGGGGCGTCGCCCGGGCCAGGCAGCGCCGCGCGCGGCCTTTGCCGACAGGGACGACGACGACCTGCAGGCCTCCAATCTCCAGGAATTCGAGGCAGGAGGTTTTGCACCGGACCGTTTTCGGCCTCTTGGGGGGCCTCGCCAGGCCTGGGGACCGTCAGCAGAACGACTCCAGAGGGAGAGCCGGCCCCCCGGTCCAGGTCGAGACCTGCTCAGGGACCCCGCGTCGTTGAGAAACTCCAGACGTCGGATGTCTGAGAGTCTCGACGACGACGACGACGACGGCGGCGGCGGCGGCGGCGACGACGGACTGCTGAAAATTCGCGACCGACGTCTTTCGCCGTTTTCTGCCTCTAGGGGTCGTTTCTCAGGGATGAGAAGCCGGCTCCAGGGAGAGGGGTCGAGATGTCCAGGGGGTCCGTGTCACAAGAACATTGTGCCGTCGGAGCGCAGGGTTTTGTTTTATTGACGCATAACCGAACCAATGCCGACACACATTTGAAGCTACATATTCCGATTCTTATATTTCTATTACCCGGACCCCCCCCAGACCCCCCCCCAAAACCGGACCCCCCCCAAGGACCCCGGACGCCCTTTCGGACGTCTCGGCGGCCCCTGAACGTCCTTGGAAAAGGTCCGCTGGCCCTTCCAGGCCTCCCAGGGCGCCTTGCCGGGCCTTGCGAGCAGACTCCAGGCGATCAGAGGGGTCAACAGGGAGGCGCAAGAGAGACCCAAGACAACACCAGAGCGCTCCGGGAGGAACCTCGATGGTCTGAAGACGGCCCAAGACGCCCCAAGAGGCCGTTAAGAGAGCCCCGAAGAAGCAAACATCGTCACATTCCTTCAGGGAAATGCATATTTTTGGCATGTCCGCTTTTTGGGTTTTCGCAGCTTCCAAGACGGCCCGATGGGCCCCCTATGTCGCCCCAAGACGGCCCAAGATGCCCCCCTCAGAGGGTTTGAAGACGGCCCAAGGGCCCCAAGACTGCCCCAGAGAGCCCCGAGACTGCCCGCAAGAAGCTTAAAATGCCCCCAGACAGCTCCCAAGAGAGATCCATGAAAGCCATGGGAGACCCCCCCAAAAGGCCACTGGAGGCCCCCAAGAAGGCCCTAGATGGCTCCAGAAGTCCTCTGGAGGGCCCCAGATCTTCAAGACGGCCCAAGAAGGCCCCAGGACGGCCCAAGAGGGCTTCAGGACGGCCCAATAGAGCCCCAAAAACGCCCAGACGGCTTTCTTCTATGAAGTACATTGAGCTGACCCGACGATCATGGCTCCACGCTTATGGTTCGAGGTTTCAATTCCTCGATCGAGAGAGCCTGGCAATGGATCTAGATTCGAAGCTCGACGATCGAAGATGTCCTGAGTGCCTGGGGCCTTCCAGGCATTCAGGAAGCGACCAAACATCGATTTCTTCGGAGCCTACGGCGACTTCTTCGGCGTGTCATGGCAACGCTCCTCACGTCCTCAGAGGACCTTCGCGGGTGAGAAATTGTCATTCCTTCCCCGCTCCTGCGCACATGCGTGCAAACGCATCGGGCGAACGCGGTGTCAGCAGGCACCAGGGATATCAGAAAAATGAGCCGGTCGCCCGTCCAGGCTTCGAGGTCCCCCCTGCGAAAGCAAGCGATGATTGATTGGTTTGCCAGAGAAGCGTCTGGAACAAGGCGCAAAGTGCGAAGAGCCAAAGGAGTCTTGTATATATATATATATATATATATATACAGCTCGCTGCGCTTCGCTTTAGGGGACGATGCGTGGACCGAAAGGCGGCCCCTGGGCTGACCCCGCACCGTGTATAGGGCCAGGGAAGTGGAGGGCAACCGCAAAACACGACGGCAGGTGAACGACAGGCGCGGGCGCGCGCGAGTGGGCGCGCGCGCGAGGGTGCGACGGGGGCGGTGTCCACAACGCCTGGCAGGAGGAATTTACCCGAAAGCTGTCCCACGTCGTTCCCCGTAGTTTTGTTGCACGTTTTCGCCATAGCCGCTCGATGACGCCCTGATTGATTCCGAAGGTGTCTAGCGGGATCTTGTGTGCAATGTGCGCATGCAGAGAGAAGAGGAGGGCACGTCGGTGAGGGTAATTTCTATACCCGGTGGCGCACAGAAGGTGGCCGCGACGGTACTGCCAAGCGACCGCGGCGTGGGCTCGCCGAAAATGCTATCCTATTGGCGGGGGAAAGAGGAAGGAGTGGTTGCCGCGTGGGACACATCGGCACGAATGCCAGGACAGCAGAAGGCTAGCAGGGGCCAGGGGATGCGTGCGGAAGCGGCGTGCGTTCCCTGCAAGTCAGGATGATTCGCTTAAGAGGCATGAGGTAGGTTATCCCGACATAATATTTGAGCCTGAGGTGGCGAACGGGCGAGTAATGAAGAGGATGGGATTCGGGAGGGAGCAGGCGGGTGGGATCAGCGAGAAGCGACCCGGATGCCGCAGCGAATCTTGCGTACCAAAGTCGAAGAGTGTTTCCGAGAGGTTCGGCAGAACAGTGGAGGGGGCGGAAGGCGCAGTCGGTGGAGCGTTCGGGGTGCTTCGGGGCTCTTTGAGGGCTGAGGATCTGTGGGTGGGCGGTACTGGAAGCCATGCTCGGACATCTTCGAGCGGTGGGGCCGTTGTCGGGTCGCGTTTTGTTGTTTGGGGGGAATGCACGTGGGCCCCAGGTGGCCTTGTGGACGTCGTTCTGGAACAACTTGGTTGTCACTGGGGCGCCTTGGAAGCACTGTTGAACCATGTTGGCCGTCTCCCGATTTTTGTCGGGAGGTCCAGAAAACCAGAAAAACGCCCACGAGGGGTCGCCAACGCCATTGAACCTGAATTTGAGGGTGGTCGGGGGCCTATTGGAGCTTTTGGAGGCGTATGAAAGTGTGAAGAGCCCGAAATGGCCATATGGTGCAAATTCTACACAACTAAAGTCGGGCCTCCAGGGAAATCAATGTGGGCCCCGTCGTGCCTCTGGGGCGTCATTTTGGACGAATTTCGAGCATCTGAAACGCCTTTTGGGCCATTTTGCGGCCGTGTGGGTGGGAGAGGTGTTGGGTCCATCTTGGGCCGTCATTGGTCCATTTTGGGCTCTCGTGCACCGATATTGGTTGTCTTCCCGGTCTCTCGGGGAAGTCCAAGAGGCCCGAATTTCGCCCATGAGGGGTCCCTGGAGCCGTCCAAACTCTATTTGGGGGGTGCTCGGGAGCCGTTCGCGATCCTAGTTGGAGCCTTTGGGGGTGTATGAGAGATAAGAATAGCAGTCAGCAGCATCACCATCATCACCGCCGTCGTCATCATCATTACTTTCATCAACCTTATTCATCATCATTATACTCATCATCATTATCATCATCATCGTCGTCACCATCATACTTTTGTATCTATATATATATATATATATATATGATCCAGGGTCTGGGCTCCCCCTCATGCTGATGCCATTGGCCTCCCCCCCCCGCGCGATGGGCCCCCCCCCCCCTGTGGGCGTGGCGTGGTGGGGTCTTCACTTATGGACGGATCCATGGGGAGAGGGAGTGAAAGAAGGGAGAAGGGAGCAAGGTAGGGACGATAGGGCCAAGGAACGAGGAGGGAGGGATGAGGATGGGGACGCAGGGGGCGGAGAAGCAACATCGTCGTCGACGGTGTCTTCCCCGTCGTCGCCTACCTTTGAGTGTGGCTTTGTATTGCGGTGCTTCAGGGAGCCGGAGCGGACAGTGTCTTCGTCGTTGTTGTTGTCGTCGTCGTCATCGTCGTCGTCGTCCTCCTCTTCCCCTCCATCCCATTTGGGGCGGGGCCCGAGGGACCCTGAGACCCATCCCATCTGGGAGGGGGGTTGGGGCCCGTGGGTTCGGAGCCGGGGATCATATATGGATCTGGAGGCGGACCATGACCAGGGGCTCCTGAGCCAGGGCCGTCGCCGCAAACGGGGGCGCCAGGGCCCAGTCCCGCCGATTGGACTGCCAATCTCGGCCCCAAGGCTCAAGCGAGCCAAGGTGGCCGTCAAGATGACTCCCAAGGCGGGCCAAGCTGGGTTTGAAACGTCCAGTGAAGATTCAGCATTGCTCCAGAGGCACTGTACGCCCCGAGAGCGGTCTAAAAGATTGCTTGAGATTGTGGAGGACTCAGTAGTTGGAGCGTCTTCTGAGTATCCAAGATGGTGCTAGTAGCTCCCAAGGCGGCCCAAGAGACTACCAATAGAGCCCCAAGACAGCCTCAAAAGTTGCCAGGCGAGGGTCCCCAGCTGGCCCCTGGAATGGACCCGTCTCATGTCCTCAGGGTTCTCGGCAGTAGAAACGAGCGCTGCTGTGCATGATGTGAAGCTTCGTGGCCTTGGCGAATCGGATTCTTCGTTGCGCTGCCTCTCCTCGGGTTAGCACCCCTCGCCCGCCTGCTCCAGCTTCGGGGCCCAGTGCGTCGCCTCCTGCTCCTGCTCTGTCCACGATATGCCGTGTTGGCTCATGCTTGGACTCGGAGTGTCGCGCAGGCTGCTCCGCAGTGGACCGGGCTGCAAAGCCGCCCGCCCATCGGCTGCACAGGGCGGCCGCCTCCGGCGCAATGCTGGGAAGGTTATGGTGGGCTTGTTTTCCACCACAACCACCACCATAAGTTGGAGGGGGGAAGGAGGAGGAGGACGAGGAGTAGGAGGACAGGAGAGGAGGAGGAGGAGGAGGAGGAGGAGGAGGAGGAGGATATGGAGGAGGATGAGGAGGAGGAGGAGGCCAGGAGTCAGCTGCCAGGGGCTCGGCGCGCGCGCCGAGGCCGTGGTGGCCGAGCTGGCAGACGCCCGCGCTCGGCTGCGCGAGGGCAAGGCGTCTCCAGAGGAGGAGCCGCAGAAGACAACTGCACGAGGAGGAGGAGGAGGAGGAGGAGGAGGAGGAGGAGGAGGGGGAGTAGGCGTCTCCAGAGGAGGAGCCACAGAAGCCACCTACACACCACTGCGGTGCTCGGCCAGGGCCGTGACGAGGCCTGGGATCCCAGACCCTCGTGCAATGAAAAAATCGCGACGGCAGGTTTTTTGCCATCTTCGGCCTCTGGGGGCCTTTCCCGGGCCTCGGGACCTTCAAACAGTTATTCAGGAGGAAAAACCGGTTCAGGGGAGCGGGTCGCTCCAGGGATCGACGGAATGAAACAAAGTCATGACGTCGGGGGTCTGGGAATGGGAGTGGGCTGCGCGTCCGAGGTGGCCCAGGCGCTGGGTCCCGCGCGCGGGAGGGGCGGGCAGGCTCGAGGCCCTGGGTTCGGGCAGGTGATATGTTTTCTTCGGCCTCCATAGGGGGCCGTCTTCAATCCCCGGGGCCGGCAGAAGCGGATCCGGGGTGAACAATACAAGCAGTGGCGAAGCGTCTTAGTTCGCCTATGGCCTACCAAACAATGTCCTAAGATTTGTTTGTGGCTTCCACGAAAAGGATCTCAGAACATTTCTGGTTGAGATTGTCTTGTTTTAACACATCGGGTTAATGTTCCGCCAAGAACATTGTTGTTGTCCTTAGAACATTTTTGGGTTCTAAGAACATGTCCTGGTAGGCCTATAGAAGTGTCGGGACGGTCGGTCCCTGCTCAAGAGCATGTGCACCAGATGGATTGACTCCAGGAGGGGTCCAGGGGCACGGTTTTGAGCGGAATTCGCTTCCCCCCCGCTCCTGGCCGAGGTCCTGACCGCCTCCAGCCTGGGATGTTGATCGGGCCCTCCTGGCCTCGGCTGGGACCGGGGCCCCCGGAGTTGGCACAGGCACCAGGACACTGTGGCTCGGGCAACAGCGCTCCAGCACGAAGGGTCTTTGATTTCTGGGCGCTGGTGCCGTGGCGCGGCCTCTCGCGGCCCTGGTCATGCACGGTGGTGACGTGTGGGGTGCCGTCTGCGTGGAGGAGACAGCGGCTGGCCAGAGCTTCCTGAACTGCGTAGAGACCGCCGCAAACGAGCTCGGGGTCAGCGCTGCGGACCGCGGCTACCGGCGCTCGTTCACGGCCAACTACCGCGCGCTCTTCCCGGACGCCGCGCGCAGGTACCGTATGGACCTGTTGGAGGCCAGCGCCGACCACAGCGTGGCAATCTGGGTCAACGGCGACAAGTTCGAGCTGAGTGGGGAGGCCGTCGGCCACGCAGAGCAGCTGCAGCTTGACTGGGCGTCCCTGCAGGAGCTCCTCGATCGGTGGCCTGCGCCAGCGGTGCAGCTGGCGCACGCGCTGTGCCAGGACGTGGCATCCGTGCTGGAGAAGCTGGACGCTGCATGGGCGAGGCTCTCAGAGGAGGGCGAGCGGCGAGTTGAGACCACGGCAGGTCTTCTGGTGGGGGGTCCCTCTTCGCCACGGCCGCACGCAGCTCGGAAAATTGGTGCGTTCTGACCCCGGGAGAGGTCTGGGAACCGATTCTGAGCTGCTGTTGTCTCAATTCGCCCTGCTCGCGAGGTTCGAGCAGAGCTATGTTTCAGAGCTCATTGCCATAGAGGGCCGGGCGCGCAAGCTCCTCGAGACCGCGGTGCAGCAAGAGCGCCGCGTCCGGCACAGTCATCAGCAAAAGCGGCAAGAGGCGCAGCGTGAATTGGCTGCCACCGTCGCGAAGATCAACGCAGTTGCAAACTGCAGGCGGAAAGGCCGCGATGATCTCGACCCTGATATATTGTTCCGCGCACAGGATGTGCTGCGGGATGCCAAACACGCCAGCGGCCCTGGCAAGCAGGCAGCGCGCTTGCTGGCAGCGGAGGTGGTCGACTCATTCGAGGCCGTGAGCAAGTACTTCCGGGAGGTCGGCCGGTGCATGGAGCGCGTCGACCCGCACCTTTGCAACAATGCGGGCTTGGTGTCGCGGCTCGTCGACTGGGAAGAGAGCTGGGAGATGGGCGCCCGCTTCGTCCGTGACCCTGCGGTTCCCAGAGAAGAGAAAACAGCATGAGCATGCGTCTCCGTGGGTCCGCGCGGTTTTTCCAGACCGGCGCTAGAGGCATTGCCATGGGGCTCCAGCGCAGATTCAAGAAATCCTCGCGGACCTCAAACATTTACGCTTCTTTCTGCTTTCTGTTCCTCTAGGTTCTCGGCGGCGTCTGTGACCTCGTGAGCGAGCTCACCGAGGTTCGGAGTCGTCTAACCAGTCCGCATCTCCCTTGGTCCATGGTATATCAGCCCCGCCAGGTCGACCGCCCAGGTGGAGACTGGCCCCGCGATACCCGAAGGGAGCAGCATGTACATTCACGCATTTCCCCACCCAAGGAGATCGGCTCATTTTGCACCACCACTACCGTATGTAAGAGAGGGAGGAGGAGGAGGAGGAGGAGGAGGAGGAGGAGGAGGAGGAGGAGGAGGAGGAGGAGGAGGAGGACCTCCCCGTCCTCCCATCTCCCCCGTCATACACATGGTGGTGGTGGTGGAAAATCTGCCCATCGCAAGGGGGTCAGTCGGCCAGTGGGGCCAAGGCCATGGCCAGTGGGATCGGTCACACGATGCTCAGAGGTGGCGAGCCTCGTGCCAGGCTTCTCGGCAATGATCAGCAGCTGCGAGGCGGAGCTCTTCATGGTGCTGCCCCGCCTCGTCTGCCTGGGCTTCGCGGCCAGGCCCGCGGCGCCGCGGGCGGCGCTGCTGCGGGAGCTCCTGCGGCACCGCTGGGTCGAGCAGGAGGGGTGCCTCCAGATGGGCCCGGAGCTGCGCAGTCTGGCGCAGGACCTCGGCTTGCACGCGAGAGCGGCCCCTCGCCGCTCGCACCTGCGTTCCAGGGTGTCCTCGTCGGGTCCCGGAGGTGTGCTCCTGCAGCTGCGCCTCGCCGAGAGCGTCCCGGAGGTGCCCAGGTCGCCCCGACGGGCCGCCCGAGGCCCGTGCTGTGGGCCAGAACCCGAGGAGCCCTTCGCCGGAGTGGCCTTCGGATGCGCGGCTTACGCGCGCAGGGCTCGTCCAGGACTTCGTCTCCCCCAGACAAGCAGGCCGCCACCGTCGCACTCGCGCGCCGCGACCAGCGAGCTGCGCACCAGAGGCCAAGCTCTCGTTTGGGATCCATCGGAAAAGAAAGAAACGGGCTGCGCGTTCCGCTGTGCAGCATCGAGCGAGCCTCGCTGACGACGGATCTGTAGGCGGAGCGGAGATCTGCAGTGCACAAGCGTGCTCTGTTCCCCCACTGTGCACTGCATCGCCCTGGGATTTCTTCTTGGATCGGCGCTGGGCCCCCCTGGCGCGCTCCGCGCGCCAGGGAGGGAGGTCCAGCGCGAATCCAGGAAATCCGCGCGGAGCGCCAAAAGCTATGCTCATGTGGCTCTCCCTTCTTCTACAGGACTACCACGCGACCGCCAGGGCCCTCTGCGCCGCCCCCGGCGGCTGCAGCGGCGGCGAGGGCTGCCGCGAGTGCGCCTCCGCCCGGGAGGCGCTGGTCGCCCGGGCGGTGGCCGGGCCCGGCGACCCGGCCGGGGGGCCCGCGGGCGAGGGACACGCCGCCGCGGTCGAGGCTCGCAGGGGGGGCATCGGCGGCGCGCACAAAGGGTTAAGTCGGGCGTGTCCCTCTACAGGGGGAATATCCCCCCAAGAAGTCGAACAGATATGACGGGAACGATGTTTCGACTTTCTTCGGCAATTGTTTCTTCCTTTGATGAGTATGTTCACTTCTTCGTCCAAAATCCCCCTGTAGGAGGACAGGCCCGACTGAACACAAAGGGGGGGAAGGCCTCTTGGAAGGATGCTGCTTCTGAGAAGGCGCCACCCTTACATCTACCCAGAGGAGGAAGAGGTACCCATACCTCTGCCCGTCCCTCGTTTTCCTCTTTTTGGGCCTCCTTGGCGGCCATTTGCCACCGCTTGATTCGCCTCGAAATCCTGGTCAGAACGCACCCCGGGAAAGGTCCGGGGAGTAGCGGCATCGGTGCTGTAGTGAGCTTGGGAGTTGGGTTGGGTTGTTAGGTACTTGTAACCTAGTTGTAAGGTGCTGGTAAGGTAGTTGTAACATAGTTGCAAGTCTGTTAAGCGTTTGTAAGTTCAGGTATCTTACGTAGCTACTTTAGCAAGTCACACAACATTTGCAGGACTTGGCCCACACGTGTCTTAACTTATCTTGACTTAGGCCGAGTTGCAACTTGACGCAGCGATATGTTGTTGATGGCTGAAGTGGGATTTGCCCAATCGTAAAGTTTGAATTCCACTTCACACTTCTGTGTTCAGATGAGGCCCGCATGGCGTGTTTCTGATTCTCAAACGTCGCACGCAGGGCAATCATGAATAGAATTCTCCAGTTGCGGGAAGACGCATCCGTCGCTGGATTCTGTGCCAAGTGGCAATTGCGCGCTCGACGAGCGACTCCGCGATTAAATTTGGTCAGCGTTTGCAACAACTGCATTGTCCATAATGTGTCGCAATCTATTTTGTCATCCATTACGCATGCTGTCGGTGCAACGCGTGTCACTATTTCAGGTGAGACCACGCTGTATATCGAAAAAAATGTTGTTGTCTCAGCATTGGTACTTGCAGGTGGCGATGCGTAGGCGTGTCAGGTTCGAGCTCGGTTTTCTCGGCAGTTACTGCATTTCCAGCGCGCACAATGCAGAGTTTCTATCCGCAAGAGCTGGTGGATTTCATCAGCGGGCGCATCGAGATGCATCGCGAAGGCAATCTTGCCCCGATCACAGCTTGGAAGGATTGCGCCGACCGCCTCTTGAAGGAGAAGGTCGCCAAGCATATCGTCGCCGAGGCAGACGACTTCATCATCCACCCCTCGAACTGTTCTGGTCTTGACGCGAACGCCTACAACGTGCGCAGGGTCGGCGCCGTGCTCAGGCAGCGCGGCGTTGACCCTGCAGAGGTAGAGAAGGCGGTTCCGTTCGAACGCACGCCAATGGATCCTATGACGTCGCCCCAAGTTGCATTCAATCAGAAGTAGGTTTCGCCCAGTAAGGGCATGCTGGCGCCGATGACGGGCGCTGAGAGGTTCTGCGCGGCAGGGACGGGCCACACCGCGCAGTTTTTCAAGGCAGTGAAGACGGGCTGTTCCACGCCTGAACCGAAACTCGCCGACCCGACGACGGGTGGGAAGATGAGCGCCGAGACGCCGTCCCAGGACCCGCGTTTCCACAACGCCCTCACGAAGGGCTGGCGTTGGACCGTCATGCCGCGGCAGGCAGAGGTGACGTGGCCGCGCCTTCCAGATTTGGCACAGCGGGCCCTCGTCGCGAGCAACAACGTTGCCAGTTTGATGTCGGAACTGAAGCGTGCGTGAGCATTGCAGAATTTGCAGAACCGATGCCGCCTGAGTTTACTTTCGCCGCCTGCGTTGATGCAGCGAAGATGAACCAGCCGCCGTGCCAGGCAGGCTGCTTGGGAACGCATCTCTTGCAAATGCGCGCGGCGCACGCGGGCGCGGCCACGGTGCGTTGAAACGCGAGCAACATGTCGCCGACTGCGCTTGCCCGACATGCGTATTGCACGCGGTCTGTCTGCGCCGCGGCCGCGCGCGCCTGCGCCCTGCAGCATCTGCGGGGGGGGGGGGGGGGGGGGCGTTTCCGACGGGGGGGCATTGGCATTGGCAATGCTGTCAAGCTCGCAACGCACTGCGGCGGAGGATCTGGTGTCCCGATGGTTAAGTTCATGGGTAGGTTTGGCAAGATGCACGGTGCTCACAAGAAGCTCGGGCAGGATTTCGCTACGTCAATGGTCGACGCTCATTTTGGTGATCTCGAGCCATGCGTCTCCTTGCAAGTTGCAAGCACCCCTGCAAACCTTGCTTCAGATAAGCAGTCGGGCGGCGCGGCGAAACTATTGGTTCCCAGTGATATTGAGAAGTTGAAAGGCAAATCCGTCAAGGAGGAAGCGATTGCGCTCGACGGAGACCTGTCCAAATGTTATCGCATCGCAGGCTCCCTGCGCGCCGGCGGCCGCGTCAATCTAGAGCAGCATGACATGCTGATTGGGAAGTTCCTCGCTCGCTCAATGTTGCGCTTAAACGGGAAGGGGAAGCAAGGTCCAGAGGGCGTCGTTTTTGAAAGCCAGGTGCCGATTATCTCAGACTTCGCATCTGAGGCAGCTGGCATTTGTGGCAGCGACGTTGTCATTGACCCAGACGGCCAGTGGGCGCCTGCTGCGACCCTTGAAGCCAGCGGACCACATTCTACAGATGACAGGGCGGCCGCGATGACCGAAGAGGACCTGCGCAACCCAGAGCGCATCGTGGCAACCAACGGTTTCACTGTTGGGGGCATCGTGTTTGAGCGCGCCGTGAGCGCGAACGCGGGGCTGTGCAAGATTGCGTCCATTGGGTCAGCCGAAGTAACCATGGGGCAGTTGATTGCATTTTCTGAGCCAGCGTTTGACGCGAAGGTCGCCCTCGCATTATTCTCGAAGGAGTGGGCGTCGTACAAGGGCAGCGTGCCCTTCGCAGCGCCGCTGCCTGCAGGGACGCGCGCTTCGGCGCATCAGCTGACGAAGGCGGATGAGTTGCGCAAAGATTTCGAGCAGACTGCCAATGATGGCACGACGCTGCAATACGGCCTTACCCCCAGCGTCGTCGTTGCCGCCCAGAAGATCGAGAGGGGTAAGCTCGTCCTTGCGCCGTTCTCAGAAATGAACAAGATCCAGACAAGGCCGTCGCAAGTTGCGGTGCAGGTCAAGCGCGGGCCCGCAGCGTTGCACGCATCGCCCCCGGCGAGGGCGACGGACCAGAAGAACGCCGATGCTGCCGACGTATTCTACATTCCTTATTGGTGGGCTCGGGAGACGGACAAGGAGGAACATGCCAACGTTGCTCTCGTTCAACAGAGCACCGTCCACATCCGTCTCAAAGCTTACAAGAACATCAAGACCTTGCAGCAGTTCGACAAACTGCTTGTCCATAAAGCCAAGGAGCGCCATGCGCCGGTGCAGCCCGCAAAGAGGGTCAAGCTCTCGGAGGGGGTTGCCGAGCCTAAAGGGCAAGGCTAATGCCAAGCCTAAGGGCAAGGCTACCTAGCGGCAAGGCATAGCGCTCGCAGTGCGGCTTCCATTCGCGCGCCATTTGATTGAGAGATCGCGCGAATGGCGCAGATTAAAAGCGTCATGCCGCGCGCGCGTGCATGGATATGCAGCGGTTTAGATGCGTTTCGCGCGCCTCGCGCGCCCATATGTGTTCGGCGGGCGCGTCATAGAGCCCTGCGGCCCACGGGCCTGCATGATGTCGCAGCGGGAGTGGCGCGGGCGAAGCAATAGCAAGGGGCCGACGAAAACGCTGTCCCATCGCCTCATTCCCAGCGTCTGTAGCACGCTGGCTTGACGAGGAGGGGGGGGGGGGGGGAGGAGGAGGAGGAGGAGGGGTATAAGGAGGAGCAGGATGAGGAGGGGGAGGGGATGAGGAGGGGGGGGAGGGATGAGGAGGGATGGGGAGGAGGGAAGAGGAGGGGAAGGATGATGAGGAGGAGGAGGGGATGACGACGAGGAGGAGGAGGAGGAGGAGGCAGTCCACCATCTGCGATTTGTTTTGCCTGGTTACGCTGCGGGGACTCCTTGCGTCGCATGCATATGCGTTCGCGCGCGCGAAGTGCGAAAATTTGCACCGCGCCGCAGTGCGCGGTCGCCCATATATAGCCATTTGCAGGCGTTTTGACTTGATCGCTGCGTTCGTGGCCAACGCTGCAATGCTCGGTCGCATGGCGATTGGAAGTCAACAGCGGCGACTCCGCATGGATCCCCAGGTCTGTGCAGAAGGTTGATGACGACGCGTGCGCCATGGTTCATCCATATGAGTGCAGCTTATGCAAAGCACTATTGCAAAGTGGTGGTGAGGCATGCCCCAGGTCAACGGCCCGACCGTCTATCGGCAACGCGCCTGGGTACAAAAAATCATTGCTGCGAGAACCGCGCCCATCATCGGGGGCGCCCCCGCGCGCGAGCACAGACCTGTCAGGCAGTTGTTTCGTCAGAGGAGCAGCCCGAAGCGCCGCCCCAAACCAAAGCGTCGGTCCAAGCATGAGATCAAGGCCCAGAGAGAGGGGCCGCCCGTGGTCGTTGACGTCGCATTGCCCCCTGTCGGCGACGTCGCCTCCCCAGCATCAGGATGCTCATGCCAGCGAGGGCAACCGATCACACGTGGGTCAACGCGTCTGACGACTCCGTCTGCGCGCTCGTGCAATGCATCATGGCCCACGGCGTCACCAGCCAGATGATCACGACCAAGAGGGCCCACAGCAGGAGGGGGGGCGACGACGACTGCGACGCCGAAAGCAGCGAGCACGCAGTCGTCAGCCCATGCGGCACTGAGCCACTAGACGACGCAGCGGGGTCATCTTAGACTGCGTCACCGCAACGTACTGTCCCAATGTGCGCTTGCAGGGTGTCATGTATAAATGCATTTATGTTCGCGCAACACCATTGATGTTTTGTGATGGATGCACGTTTGCATTGCAGTATTGGAAGTCAGTGTTTGCATGTGCACGCGCATGGTTATGCAGTCGTCGTGTTGCATTTGCTGTGTTGTAGTTTCTGCAGTTGCAT